CAGTGCTGTTTAGGCATTCTCACAGTATTGTGGCTGTTTTCTTGGAGGTCATGAGCAGTCAGTGCTGTTTAGGCAGTCATTGGAGGTCATGAGCAGTCAGTGCTGTTTAGGCATTCTCACAGTATTGTGGCTGTTTTCTTGTCATTACATTTAAGGGTCTTAGTGCGGACATTGACAAAGGAGTTGTAGATGGGATTCATTTTAGCTTCTTCTGTATGAGACACACACAGTTCTTCACAGCACATAGTTTGGAGCACTTGGTTTTGTCATTTAATTCCTCACACATATGATTGCATACTTTGAAAACTATATTTCACATACCTTGAATTCCTCCCAGTAAAAGCTCAATGTTTCAGGTGTTACTCCGGACCACGAGCTCCCCTCAGGATCAAGGCGTAAGTGAAAAGACTGTGTGATAACCTTTGAGGCATTCTCTGTAAGTACAATCCTGTACCATAATATAAATTTTAACAAATATCAAGATTGTGGAAAAGAATAAATAGTCAACTATAACATATATCATACAAGTACTTACTCTCCCTCGACAACATAAACATCATATGGTCCCTCATCCGATGGACCCCCCACAAAGTCCGATCCCCTTTCCTCAGTTCTTTTCGATGACGTCCTCGATACTATAACATAGTAAAAAACTATCATAAAAAAGAAGACACTTATATTCACAATTTTGTTTTAAAAAAAGTTAGAAATGGTTATACATACCAGAAGTGCTATGCTGGGCAGACCCCATCAGCTGCTCAGAAGTCTCTGAAGCAAGAAAATCATCTTGTCTTTCTACGTTTGAGTCATGGATATCAGGGGATGTGGTGTGTGCTTCTGCATAAGTCGGAGGAGATGGCTTGTCCAGAATAGAGGTAAAGTTTAAAGGAAGATTATTGTTGGTCGGGGTCTGTGGGTTAGGTGCTTTTTCATTCAATCTACGTGCGACCTGCTCCTTGTATCCTTTGAGAACAGCACCCAAGCTACCTGTGAACTTGCTACTTGCTTTGTTTTTATCATTAAAGTTATCCTTATCCTTAGAACCTGTGAACAAACTTTTTGCACTATCATTCTGCTTATCATTGGCACTTGTGAACAAGCTTCTGGCTTTGTTTTTGTTGCTGCCATTATCCTTGTCATTAGTACCTGTCGTAGTTCTTTTGGATTTGCTATTCTCATTATTGTTCTCCTTATCATTGGCCATCTAAAAAAACAAAAATTAGAAAAAATGCTTATTTACTGTTTTGTGACCCCTCAATAAGGTAAGCCTTTGAAGTCAGTGCACGTTCATACAAGCTTAGGTCTTTTTGAAAT